ATTGGCTCAAGAGGGTGTGATTTTCTCATGGGCATTCTTGATTGATGAGTCTTCGATAAATTTCTGTTCAGGTTTCTGGAGCCATTCAGCCTGGGGTCTTTGTGCTCAGGCAGCAATTTCATCCTACAAAATATCTTAAGTATTGAAGTTAAAACCTTATTTTTCCCCTTTAAGTGGGAGTTTTAGAAGTTATATGGCCCTCATTCATGGCCAATGTTGCTTCATCACCATAACCAAAGTCTGAAGTCTTATCCCTTATTTTGGGCCATTACTATGTAATGGACTTGTAGTCCAGGCCCCTTAGAAAAGACATTTTACTTTTAGTCCAGCCCTTATTCATTTTCAGTTTGGGAAACTCTTAATTTTTCTTCACTACAGGGGGAAACTGAGGAAACTGAGGATCCATCCCTGCCCAGTTTCAGGGCTTGTGTGCTCCTGGTAAAGAAGCAAAGGGAAAGAAAGTGAGAAGTCACTTTCTTTGGAAGAGGAGATGGCCACATTGCAATCCCTTCTCCTCTTAAGACTTTTGGGCATGCATACGTGCCCCTGGCATGATTTTCAAGCTACTGGGTCCAGTACTTGAACCATCGTCAGTCATGTGAAAATCAAGTGTTGGAACCACACCACCACCTGTTGGCCCCTTATTCTGTTTTAGAATCTTTGCTTATTCTAAAATATGTGCCCTTACACCATCTTTGACTTGTTATTTTTTTTTCTTTAACTTGTTTCTTATTCTTTTCTCTTGTAGGTCTTGTTTTAAAAAAGTATCAAAACAGCCTCCATACTCTTGCTTGGTTTCCATAGGTTACAGCCAATCACAGCAGCTAGGTTTCAGTTAATCACAGGCATCTTGCTTTTTAAACTGTGTTAATGCAGACAGGCTTTGGAATGTAACCAACCCAAATTGTTTCTCTACCTCATTCCTTCACTTTTGTTTTTGTACGTTACTGTATACATCACTTTCTTTTTCTGGAACTTAAATACTGTGTGACTATGAGGCTACAGGGAATTGTCTGGAAGTCCTGGGACAACCGCCCGATTTAAATCACATTAAGAGTTGCTCAATTAAAGCTCCACTCAATTAAATTGGCTTTTTTTCTTCTTTTTATCGTTTCATGATGCACGGAGTTATTTTGCAAATACAGATGATCCCTTCTTAAATTTTCTTGGTGCTCCAGGCTAGTTACCTGATCTATATCTGCCTAACCAAGGTTATCAGCCCTAGCAACTCCTAACAATTCAATGTGGGAAGGTTCTTGGTTCAAGTTAGGAGATCTTCCTGAGTACACTGGGCACATGTGTTCTCATTATACTGGATTGACTGACATTCAGGGGTAGACTGTAGCATTGAGACCGTGTTGGGGGTGCTCTTTATCTCTCACTCGTAGAATAAATAAACTAAAAAAAAAAATCATCTGACTATTTGAGTTCAGATCCTGTGCTCATCAACTTATCAACTCACTACCTAGTACTCTGATGGTGGGTGTTGGGACCCTTGCCCACAGGCCGAAGGGTCCACATGGTATAACATATCTACCTTAAGGTAATGTATAAGTTGTCATCTAAATTATAGGTCATTTTCTTTTCTTTCTTATTTATAAGAGGTTTCTGCCTTAGGGTGGGTGTGCTCACAAATGAGAGAGAGAGAGAGACTGTGAGATGGAAAGTGAAAAATCACCTCCCTCCCGGTGGGGATGGGGATGCCACAATCCTTTCTCCTCCGTTATCCTTGTGGGATCTTAGGCATGCACACACATACACCCGGCATGATTTTCAAGCTACCAGGTCCAAGACTCAAACCATAGTTGGCCATGTGGAAGTCCAGCAATGTAACCGTTACACCATCTGCTGGCCTCTCTTATGGATCATTTTCTAAGGATGTGCAAGATCTCAGGGTTGGAGGCCATTTAAAGGACATTTAGCTAACCATTTATATGGTGGCAATATTCCCCCTATATAGCTGACAAGGGGTAGTCCATCTTTTCTTGAGCATCTCAAGTTAACAGAAAACTCATTAACTCTACTTCTTTGGGCACTTGTGTTAGGAAATCCTGCCTTATATTGAACGAACTAATACTTTAGAACCTCCATTCCTAGGTTGACACCATGTGTCCACATACAAAACAATCTAAACTTTCTCCAAAAAAATTAGGAACCCATGTCGCTGATAAAAATTTTTTTTCCAGATCAAATTCCTTCAATTCTTTAACTCCTCCCCACATAGGATGCTTTCAATCATAACGGTAGTAACTCTTCCAGGAACAGGCTTTTGTTTCTCTTTTAAGATATGATCTTGGACATGGTCAAGTGTTTTTGTAAAACTCACAAAATTATGATATTTCATCACAAGTGATTAGGATAACTGTTTCTTTCTACTCCAACTCTCCTCTGTCACACTTTCCCTCACACCAAGTATGCTGGAGTGGCCATGACCACTTCTGGAATGTAACTAAAGGAAAGTTGTGTTGGTGGTATAGTAGGGGTTTGAGAGAATATACATTATGTGTTTCACTGGTATTTCCATATATGAGGACTCTTCAAAAGTTCATGGAAAATGCATATTATGAAAAAACTATGCATGGGTTTCAATTTTTTTGGTACCAAAATAAATTCATACTTTAATTTCATTTTTTTTTCACAAACTTTCCAAAATACCCTCATATAGTTAATTGCTTGCTAGTTGCCTTAGTGCAGGAATGGTTTCCAGGAGTACTTCTACAACCAACTGTGCCAGTTTCACCCAGAATTGTAATTCTAAATTACAGGTATGCTAGGCACCTAATAAAATGTTATTTTATGGAGTTTGTGATATTGAAGAGAGTTTTCAGCTTTTAAAAATAAATATAAAATGTGCTTGGGACCAGCAGGTGGCATGGTGGCTAAGGTGCTGGACACTCTCACATGGCCAACCACGGTTCGAGTCCCATACCTGGTGGCTTGCTTTCTCACTTTCTCTCTCTCTCTCTGTTTCTCTCTGGTCAAATTAAAATAAATGAATGAATAAATAA